CAAAAATGAAATCGAAATTAAAAAAACTACTTCCGACTTTTTTTGCGCCTTTACATGGCGCATCTTCTTACTTTTTACTTATTTTTATAAAATAATATTTGCTTGCGAAAAGACGTACCTAACCGCCAAAATTGTAGTTTTGGTCAAAATTACGTCATTTCCGCTGCTGACAGAAAGCTTTATCGGTAATAAAAAAGTTGAGACTTTGCACCATTGAGCATATGAACTTTGTTTTATACAAATCGAGCAATAAATAATTAACCTAGAACCCATCAACTGAATTAGCCAATAGCGGCCATGTTCAATTATCGATACAAAATTTTTTCATATTTTTGTTCAAATCACATGACCCTATAATTATGGGTAAAGCACCATAAAAAAAATATTCATGAATAAAAAAGTTTTTTGTCAAAATTTAAATTTTCAAAATTTGGTGCCTAATATCTTTGAAGATTAATCGAAAATCAAAAATCTAAATAATCGTAGCTATTTACCGTGTCTCAGGCTATGTCAAAATGTATCAAATGTTAAAATTCGACAATTATTGTTAATATAACGGCAATATTTCAAAAAAAGACAACTTCGGTGATTTCGGAGATTTCGCATTGTCAGAGAAAGTTCAAAATAGCTTTAATCCTTAAGTCACACCCACTTTTTCAGTAAAACCGAAGACATCAAGTCGATCCGACAAATAGTTTCTGAGATATGCTCAAGTGAAAAAAAAAAATAATAATAAGAAGAACTAGAACCCATTCAGGCTTTTCATATTTTAAAATATTTCTTCGTAACTTTCATAAACTTGTAGCATTAATCCATATGAAGAGAATCTATCTCAAAATTAGTTTGTAATATGAGCAGTTGCCGAGAAATGGGCAATTTTGCATGGGTCACTATTTGCGCTAGTTTGCCTGTAAAAGAGTCAATTATCATTGGATTTTCATAAAAGTGACACCATTTGATGCGTAATGTCAATTGTGACTAGTTCAAACCAATTTAACATTTTCAATGTCACCGGAAATGACGTAATTTGGACAAAAACTGTATTTATAGCCTTCGAAATAAATAATTTATTCAAATGAGCCGTATTTGTTATTTGTTTACAATTTTGATATTTGATTAAAATCAACTAATAAAATGAACCCATACGATCATATAGATATCACAAAATGGTTTCTACCTTGTTCAGTTGGGGAGAAATAGACGATTTTCAACGGGCAAGTTACGAAGAAATATTTTAAAATATGAAAAGCCTGAATGGGTTGTAAATAGCTCATTTTTTCACCTTTTTTTTACCTTTAAATCGAAATGTCCCAAATACAAAATCGTAATTAAAAAATTTTTTGCGCCTTTTGCAGGAGCATTTATCTTGATCTATCAGATTTGCAAAAATTAACATTTGCTATCGAAAAGAGTTTTTAGCAGAATTGCGTCACATCCGGTGCCAATAGAAAACTTTACCGGTAATAAAAAAATTGAGAATTTGCACCGTGGAGCATATGAACTTTGTTTTATAAAAATCGGACAATAAATAATTAACCTAGAACCAATAAACTGAATTAGCCAATAGCGGACACGAAAAATTATCGAGCCAAAAAATGTTCACATTTTTGCTCAAATCAGACGACCCTTTAACACTGGGTAAAATGCCATAAAAAAAAATTCATAAATAAAAAAATTGTTTGTTAAAATTTAATTTTTCAAAATTTGGCGCCTAAAATCTCAGAGGATTTGTCGAAAATCAAAAATCTAAAGAATCGTAGCAATCTGCATGGTCTCTGGCTATGTCAAAATGTATCAAATGTCAAAATCCAACGATTATTGTTAATATTATGGCAATATTTCAAAAACCGACAACTTCGGCGATTTCAGACCTTTCACATTTTCGCAGAACGTTCGAAATAGCTTTAATCTCTAAGTCACACCCACTTTCCCTGGAAAACCGAAGACATCGAATCGATCCGACCAGTAGTTTCTGAGATATGCTCAAGTGGAAAAAAATAAAAATAATAATAATAATAAGAAGAATCCGAACAAAAACAATAGTGTTTCACATAAGCTACGCAGTGTGAAACCCTAATAATAATCTTAACTGGCTACGCAGTGTGAAACCCTAATAATACAATCAGATAGAGTTTTTGGTAAAAACTTAAATTGTGTCAAAAGAAATATCCAGACAATGCGTAGTCAAAATAATCTGATACAGCACCATGGCATTTCTTCATAGCACAATTTGTAGTCTTTTGTCCATCACGTAACTTGCAAAAGTTTTTATTTATTCGTCGATGATAGACAAACGGCACGATGATCACGTGACAACCATAACTAAAGTTGCTATAAAATAAAATTATATGTACGACTATGATATAGCCTTCAATAATATTTTTAAAATTAAGTCTCTGTCAGCATGTGTATAAATTTAAAAATCGTAACGGTAAACGCTATTTAGAACTGGTTTATTGACCTAATTCCAACCGATATGTCACGTGTCATTGGTCTTCGGCATTCGAGATTCTGTTGGGAAAATATCCACTGTTTCTCTTTCCGTGTATTCAGTGTTCTATCAGGGGATTATATTCAATGAAGATTTAAATTTACCTAACAACTGGTCAGTAAATCCATCAATGTATGGGGGGGTTGGATGGCTGAATGGTTAGCGTGCGCGCGCTGTATCATAACGTCTGTCATTGAGTCAACTGGCGTGGTTTCGAATCCCGGGTTGTATGTGGCAAGGAGTAGGGTCGCTTGTCTAACCTCGTCGGTTTTCTCCGGGTCCTCCGGTTTCCTCCCACTGCTAAAGACCCCTACGCGCAAGCGAATTATTGAAATAAAATTAAACCATATGTTAGTCCCGAAATGACCTAATTTGTGTCGAGTGGACGTTAAACCCCATTTCTCTCTCTCTCTCCATCAATGTATGATCCAGTTATTATTTTAATATCTACCTGTACCTGCACTTCACACGGACGGAGTGTAGAAGACGCTCGATTGGCAAACCATGCCGAGATCGTCTTTATTCACCACGTGGAGTATTTTACTGAACCTTTTATGAATTATCAGTAAGCGTGTTTTGTTTTTTTTACCGGATTGTCAAAATCACAGTTAAATGAGGTAATTGCTCGGATTATGAACCACATATGGCAGATTCTCACTAATGTATGAAGGTTGTTGTAGCCGACACTTCTTTATTTAACAAGTAATAATTAACACGTTGTAATATTAGCCATAAGTAGATTGATTTATGATACCATGTGGCTGATTCATTGTTTTACCAATCGGCTAGATTAAACATCAATCGGCTAAACCCCACAAAATACAGCCGATTAAGAACACTGACCCTGACTGACATTCAACAGTTGGACACGAAAAATTTTACGCGAATCGTAGGCTCTTGCGCGAATTAGATTCAGAGATTCGCATGAATTTCTAGCCCTGGTTTGTGGGCCCTCTAGAAGTCACAATGATTATTTATCCGATTTTGATCAAATGTGGGCTTATCTTGAATAATAGTTACATTATTAATTGGCAAGTGGGTGTAAATTCATTGAAATTCTAAACCACCTGATGATCAGACCTGTCAACTCTACCGCATCACGCGGTAAAGTGCCGCGAAAAGGCCTCATGTACCGCTCTACTGCGCGGTAATAGCTTTCTACCGCATTTTCTCGCCAAAACTATGGAACTAAGGGAAACAACTCTTTGCACGTAAACAATAAAGATCGCAACTTTAGGTTATCAACATCGATTTGAGACATTGTAAGGTGTAATTTAGCAAAGAGATTTGTTCTCAAATTCTTTTCAATCTATTTTAGAGTTAATAAAGCGGATATAATTATTGGCACGTGTTCCAAATACTCTTAAAATGCGTAGCGATAAACTGAACAAATAGCGACCAATTTACGGCAGCAATGGCTGACAATTTCGTTTGCGCGCGTACCTACAGCATCTAAAAAATCCCATACATTGAGGGGATAATCGCCATGGGGGTGGGGGCATGATTAAATCGATACCAATATTTTGTCATTAGTCGTTATGCAAAACTATTTTTTTAGGGTTAAAATTCCTAATGTAGAAATACTATAGAATCTAATAAGCACACCAATTATCTTACATGAAACAATATTGTTAAAAACTCTGGAATGGGGAACACGTCACAAGGATATTTTCAAAATCATGCTTAGTTAAAACCAAAGAAAAGTGGTACTTCCAGTACTACTGAACTGGTAATTTTAATTATTTTTTTACGTTACTAATTATTTCTTTCAATTTTGGTTTATATACATAAATACATTTAGATATGGTTACCATTGCTTATATTTTATCTATTACCCATTTAATGCAATTTTTGTATTGTTGGGCCTAAATTAATTACCCTTGGAAGTGCGAATTTACTCGTTTTGGAAATCTATGACCAAATCATGGTTTCTACTGCATTTTTTAGACTACCCTACTGCATTTCAGCTCTGAGGGGTTGACAGGTCTGCTGATGGTCTAGAGAGTTGATTGTGGGCTTGGCTGGTGAATAAATGTCTAAATAATGATTTATATAATATTGAGGTCAAACGAAAGATCTTCATAAGGCAGATTTAGCACTGTGGCCTGGTACTGTGCCGAGAACAGAACACTTATCGCGGCTAAGTGTGAACAGGGCTAAAGTATTCCTTTATATCTGAAATGAACATTGGCTTAATTGCACCTACCACATTTTAAATGTAAATATTAGTTTAGTTGGTTAAAATCCTTGTCTCAGAAATTGTGGGAGCCATAGTGGCTAGCCTGGAGGTTGCGTGTTTGATACCTGCATTGGCTGAGAAAGTTGATCAGGATTTTCCAGCGTGGTTTCTACTTGTCAATGGTGCAGGACGGAGGGCCTAACAAGAACAGTTGTCTAGTCATTTTGAATGGGACGAAAAACCAAGGACCTATGTATACATATATCACCGATTGTCCACTATTTTAAGATTTAATTCAACAAATTTACATTAATTTCAGATCCTCCAACCATCACAAGTCTAACATCTGATGCTACCAACAACATGATAGATGAAGATTCTACTGTAACCTTCAACTGTTTAGTTGACAGTCTTCCATCTTCAGTAATATCCTGGTCTAGATCACAACAAGGGGGACAACTCTATTCTGGTAGTCAATATACCATATCTAAAGCTAGTTGTCAACATATAGATAACTATACCTGTACAGCTAGTAATAATATTGGTCAACCTGTATCTAAAACTATTCCACTCTTTGTTAAATGTAAGTACAACCCCGGAAATATGAAATATATACAAATCTGACTAAGCAAAAATGTAATTCCTTTCCACAAGCCTTATGGTTACCAATATCTGAATTCCAAATCCAAAGTTTGTTCAAATAAATTGTTGTGCACATGACACGTATGGCTACTCCTTCTTATTGTTAAAACATGGCCCCTAGAGGAGGTTTACATGGTTAGTATATTCATTGTTTTGTACATTGTTCTTTGATTTGAATTATTGTCAGCTCAGTATGAATAATGATGTAATGATCGCTTGTCTTAATTTTAGGTCCCCCACAAGAAAACCAAGGGGACCCATTAATTACTAATAGAATAAATACAACAATACATCTACAAGTTGATATAATCGTATTTCTATATTCCAGGTTCTCCAAGAGAAAACACAGTAACCAAGAGAAACATCACCAATAGAATACATACAACAATAAATCTAGAAGTTGATATAATCGCCTACCCTCGACCAACCTTCACCTGGTACCATACACCTACCAGACAGATAATAAATACAGCTAGAACACAACAACTATCAACTATAAACTATAAATCAACAGTAGAGATTACTCTAAACTCTACTCTATTTGGTGATTATATAGTATCTGTATACAATGATATTGGTGTTCAGAACTTCACTATTACAGTTATTGATGGAGGTAAAGACAATTAAATGTGCACGTATATTGCTGTTACCCCAGTTTGTGGACACTCTACCGGTCACAATTTTTATCGAATTTTGACAAAACTTAAAATGTATGTTTATAACCCAAAGGTTGTGGTTCCTTTCAACGTTGCAATGTATCGGACTGTAACCTTATGGATTATGGCCCTGATTGTACAAAAAATCGCATTTGAGATAACAATTTTTATACACCCACATTTTCATTTGGATGTATATTATCGTCTCCCCTGTCCGTCTGGATTTCTGTCCATCCAGAATATGTTTGTGGACACTCTACACGTCACAATTTCTATCTAATTTTGACAAAACTTGAAATATAGCTTTATATCCCAAAGATTTCGGTTCCTTTTGAAATTAGCATGTATCAGACCGTAACTTCATGGATTATGGCCCCTGATTGTACGAAAGTTTACGTTTTCAGCTTGTGGACCCTCAATATTTTTATCGTTACTACATGTAACTGATAATGATTGAGTTCGAATTTCGGAACGAAACTGCCCGAAAAATAAATATATATGTTTATATCCCAAAGATCTCAGTTCCTTTCGATATTCGCGCATTTCCTGGATTATGGCCCCTAGTTGTACGAAAAATCACAATTTTTTTAGCTTGTTCTCTGCCCATTTCGCAAAATATCTTGCATGGCAACCATTTGTTAATAAATTATTAACTGCCAATTGTGTTTAAATCTATTGAAATTCTAAACCACCCGATGGGCTAGAGAGTTGATTATGGCCTTGGCAGGTGAATAAATGTCTAATTAATGATTTATAACATTGAGGTCAAATGAAAGATCTTCATAAGGCAGATTTACCTCTTACATAATGCATCTTTAATAAAAACAAAGGACATGATTTGGTATTGTTGCATGTGTTAATATTTGTAGTGAAAGTATACCAAGTGGACCCTATAAAGGTCACAATTTTTATCTGATTTTAATTAAACTTGAAATGTATGTTTATACCGGTAGGTTCCTGTCGATATTTGCGCAGATTGGACCATAACTTCCTGGATTATGGCCCCTAATTGCACGTAAAATCGCATTTTTAGTCCATCAAGATGTCAAAATGTTTATCTGATTTAAAAAATGTTTTTATATAACACCCTTTCACCATAAGGACGGTTGAGTTTGAATGTCGTGAAAATCTGACCAACTGCCCGACCAAATGGCCGCTCCCTGTACCCAATTAGTGTAAAAATATGTAATACCAAGGTTGTGGACTCCCTAGAGGGTGTAGATTTTTGTATCCGATTTTGATGAAACTTGTCCATCGATTCCTTTCAATATTTGCACATTTAAGATCGAAATTTATGGATAATGACCCCAGATTGTGCGACAATATGTGTTTTTAGCTTGTGGAACATCTAGGGTTTACAATTTTTATCGAAATTTGATGAAACTCAAATCACATTTTTTAACTTGTTCTCTGTCCATCTCTTGCAAAATATCTGTATCTTGCATGGCAACAGCATGTCTAATATATTATTGGTAACTTACTATTAAAACTAGATTATATTAAAGTACTAGATGGAAGTTAGGGCATTTATAGAAACTATAATTCCTCCTAGTTTCAGATTATATTCCATTATATGCCCTTTGGGCATCTCCAATTTATATTGCATATTTCTCATTGTTCTTTCAAACCATGCACAATCGCTCAAACTTTAAAGGCTAAAAAATAGCTCACCGAATCGGCGTGTATAAACATGTGACCACGTGACCACGCTCTATATAAACGATCACAACACTTTCAGTATTGTCTTTTTCTCTTTTGATCTAGACCAAGCACATTCGTGTGTTCGTGATAACGCTGTTATCATGTTCTTAAATTTTCTTTCCATTGTGTTCAATGTGTGTTGATCATTTATGTTTTATCATGGACCTGTATTTTTAGGTCCATTTATATTATCTACCTTCGTTTTCATCGACAGGTATGAGGTAGAATCGCTGATTCACCGGTTTTTTTGTTTGTTTTTAGTCGCGGTCATCACGAAGTGTTGACTTTAAATTTCACTCTTTATATGGAGGAAAGCGATTTTTAGGGATTCTGCGAGGCAGATCTTTTAAATGATCATAATGTAACCGCAAACTTGCTAGATTTAAATGTCGTAATTATTATACAGCTTTTTTAGACAAGAGATTATAATATATTCCACATGAGTGGGACAATCGAGAATAAACTGGATGTTTACAACAGCAGTCCGATGATGGAGGTATACTTCCGATTCCGAACTCGATAATAACATTTTTAACATACCCATAGGTAAAAACGAGCGTAATAACGGAAATTTTCCGCTAAAAGGTCTGTAAAGGCCTTTAAATCTCATAAACGAGAATTGAACGCCAATATTATAGTTGGTTTGTAACTTTATCCAATTCAATTGTGTTGAGTTGACAGAATTTGATTGATATATGATCATGTTCATAATGAAAAAAAAAAAAATTAATGATGATAATGATGATCGTAATGTTAACATTATATTACCGGTACTGATTATTAACATAATATTAAAAATACTAAAGAAGGTTACCCTTATATTAGTAGTAATAATAAGTATATAAGTAGATCAAATAAAAAGGTTGTTTTTAAGAAGCCTGCAACAAATAATGTCGTTATAATGACGTTACGACAAAATGAGCCGTTACGGCCCCTGGATAGTATAGGCTTGAATCATAGTGAAAGTAATATTAATTTGCATTATTACCGGTACTGATTATTAACATAATATTAACAATAGTAATAAAGAGGGTTACCCTTATACTAGTAGTAATAATAAGTATATAAGTAGATCTAATAAAAAGGTTGTTATTAATAAGCCTGCAACAAATAATGTCGTTACGACAAAATGAGCCGTTACGGCCACTGCTATAGGCTTAAATCATAATGCAAGTAATATTTTCAGGTGGTGGCATTTTAGTAGATAAAAATGAATTTGAGTTTCTTCAAAACCAGGTTTCCTTGATGTCCAATCTTCACTGATTTAATATAACAATCCATCTTAAAATCAAAGTCTTGATGGTAATTGATGTTCATCAGTCTGTTAGGTCGGCTAATAGACCTGCATCACATGGTTTTGAAGATGCGGTATCAGTACATCATGAAGATAAAAAGTATACAATAACATTTTAAGTACCGGTAACTAATAATGGATCAGGTTTAGATATCATGGATCCTCAAAGTTTGTATGATGAATTCATGGAGTAAACACAAGAAACTAAGTTTGACATCCCCAAAATCTTTTAGGGTGATGATGTCTTTAATGATTCTGTGATCAACCAAGATACCAATAAAAAGGGTCGAGAAAAAGTAATTGACATTCTACTATCCTCTATCAGTTAAATGCAAGAGATTGTTGCCACCTTTGTTGGACCAGGATATTTGTCATGCCCTGCCCCAAGCGGCTCAGGATTGTTATCTTCAGGAGGTTCTAAAACTGTTATGTCTGGGTTGATGCCCTCTGATACCTCTTTTAAATAAAAATATTGACCCTGAGGTAGTCCTCTATTGTAGATTCTATCATAACCTTAGGTAAGGCCCATTTAGAGTTGTCTCTGAAGCATAGATTATTTCTTGTGAAATATCGCAGCAAAAGGTAGCACCCAATATATTTAACAACAAGGCCTGTTGTTGACACTTTGTCCGGCTGGATTGTTCCGGCAGGCCCTTCAAGGGCTGTCATCCCCAACTGGAGCAGGGCGAGAGGCAGATTACCTCGCCAAAACTACCACTAGACATTGGAAAGTAATAAATATTTTATGCTGGACAAATTTATATATTACTGGGCCACTATTACCTCAGATCAGTGAATATCGTTAGTGGTTATAAGATTGACTTTAATTCAACTCATTTATTCTGAAGGCTATTCCAAATAGCCTGCCTTTTAATCATAAACAGATGTCTTTAATGGATGAGGTAGTCATTTAAATGATATTTAAGAAAGCCATCAATTCTGTATCATCAGCATACAGTTATATTATTATTATTATTATTAAAAAAAAAACTGTTTAAGCAGGAAACACTGGCAATTGCCCTAAGGCTATTAAACGGAACGATTTTTTAACATCCATTGACATTAAAGAGACTTATTTTTCGATTCCTGTTTGTCTTGATCATCGAATATATCTACGTTTCAAATGGCGAGATCATGTTTATGTGTTTACATGTTTACCTTTTGGTATTTCTTCAGTTACAGATACATGTATCTTTACAAAAATTCTCAAACCTTTGTTTGCTTGGCTCAGGAAACAGAACATTATATGTACATACTTTATAGATGATTCTTTATCTGCTATGTACAGGCGTTTTTAATTTTGGCTTCATAATTAATACAGAAAGTATTTTAGGCTTCATAATTAATACAGAAAGTTATCAAGCTTGTTGACATATGAGAGAGTTTCTAAAATAAATAATAGCTGAGGAAATTTTGTTTAGTTCAAATTTATTAATTCATATGAGCCATCATTTATTGGTCAGTGTTCCTTTAGTAGAACTGCTATTATACTTGCATTATATTTATCCATTATTTAGACAAACAGAAAAATATATTTCTGTCACACTGTATCTTCAGCTATGATAATGATATCATTCATATTCAGGCAATGTTTTTGGAAATAGAATGGTGGATATCTAAGGTTTATATATAATGGGTTTTATATTCATCCACCTAGTATACATGTATAAATGGTTCATAACATCAGATGCTTTCCCATATGGATGGGGTGCCCACAGGGTAAAGTCCAAAGCAATGGCCGTTGAAATCTTTAAGAGCAAGGAAACTATATAAATTATTTAGGAGTTTGAGTAATATTCAATGTTCTGTCTGTGGTCATATTTGTTTTTTATACACATTTGTATCCAGGCTGATAATACTTTTGTATTACTTATATAAATAATCAGGGTGGTTATATTGGTAATCTTTTTGAATTGTCTAAAGAAGTTTGGCTGTAGTCTTTGAAAAAAGGAATCTTTTTGT